ATTATAATTATGATATCTCTTTTTGGTATTTTGTCGATAACTCTTCATCATTTTCTTTTTCTTCTGTCGGTGCGTGTGTATTTAGAACGAATCGATTTTGTTTTGTCCTTTTACCCTTATCCCACAGATCCCATCTGATATCTGCATAAAGTCTATTATTTTTACTTCCCGAGCTTAAGCAAAGGAAGTATTGTAATCGAGTCCGTCGGTCGACTCTCTACTTTTACGTTTTCTCGATCTTTCATGACCCCTAGAAGACGAAGAAATAGGTCTCTCATTTCCGTCTCTCTGTCCGTCTGTCCGTCTGTCCGTCTGTCCGTCCGTCTGTGCGTCTGTCTGCCGTCCCAGATTTTTATTAGACAGATAATCTCTAAGTACTGGACCAATTGTTGTGAAATTTTGTACTTATATTAGGAATATCATATAGATGGTAAAACGCTAACCAAAATTTGTCTAATCATCCCCACCACTAATGCGATGACGTCACTTCAAAATTGTACATAGTAAATGGGTCTTAAATTGTATAAAATAACATAGCCCTACACATGTAGTTTACGACTCCGAATTGAGTTTTTACCCGAAACGTCCAGATTTTTGGAACAAAATCAAAATTATAAAACAACATTTTGCAATTTAATTTTGAATCTGCTAACCTGAATGTTTTGAAATGTTGCAGATGTTTCCAGGCTGTAAAGAGCATCATAAATCTTTAGTCAAAATATATTTGGTTATCCCCTCCAAAAACTTGATGATGTCAGCTCAAAAGTTTGCCGAATAAATCCTATCTAAAATGTACAAAATATAATGCTTCTGTACTTGTGATATATCACTCCATTCATATTTTTTGGATTTGCATATACAGGGTGACTCAAAAAAATTAATGAATGCGCAAAATTTATTTTACTGATTTACTAAGGAACTACAAAACTGAATGCTTCGAAATCTTGAAGATGTTTTAAAATTATTATGAGCATGGTAAATTTTTGATCAAAATGTATTTGGTCGTCCCCTCCAAAAAAATTTATGACGTCACCACAAAATTTTGCTGAATAAATCCTATCTAAAATGTACAAAATATGGTGAGTCTCTTGTTGTGATTTATCATTCCATTCAAATTTTTTCGATTTGCATATACAGGGTGACTCAAAAAAATTAATGAATGCGTCAATTTATTTTATTGATTTAATCAGGAATTACAGAACCGAATGCTTTGAAATCTTGGAGATGTTTTAAAGTTATCATAAGCATGGTAAATTTTTTATCAAAATGTATTTGCTCATCCCCCCTAAAAAATTGATGACGCCACTCCAAAATTTTGCGGAATAAATCCTATCTAAAATGTACAAAATATGATGAGTCTGTACTTGTGATTTATCATTCCATTCAAATTTTTTCGATTTGCATATACAGAGTGACTCAAAAAATTAATGAATGCGTGAATTTATTTTATTGAGTTAATCAGGAACTACAAAACCGAATGCTTTGAAACATAGGAGATGTATTAAAGTTATCATAAGCACGCTAACTTTTTTATCAAAATGTATTTGCTAATCCCCCCTCAAAAAATTTGATGACGTCAGCTCGAAAGTTTGCCGACTAAATCCTATCTAAAGCGTAAAAATATGATGAGTCTGTACTTGTGATTTATCACTTCATTCATATTTTTTAGATTTTCTTAAGATGTGGCTCAAAAAAATTAATGAAGTCAATTTATTTTATTGATTAAATTAAAGGCAACACTTATTATTAGTATTACATTGGACCAACCCAATTTGGTAGACACAAAATTTTTTAAAGTAAAAACTCGGTTGAAACATAAGGGTAGCACGCTTATTTACGTCGACTTTAACATTACAGACGTGTGCGCTGTCTAGGTTCCGCGAATGTGGAATAGACATGTTTATAATCCACCAATTGTGAATTCCACCGTCAAAAATTAAAATAAAACGCAATGTTTTATATAATAAGCGGAAGTCGAAGCAATAAAACCGATGGTCGTTTTGTTTACAGTTTCTCTGTTTGACTCTCACGTATGCTGTTACGCTTGTCATCTTAAATTAAGAATGTTTATACATAAACGATTTTCAGTTGCCTCTCATATTACTAGACAGCGGATTTCTGTCGGGCTACGTCACGATTATAGGTGGGGACGCGCCGGATCGCCGGGACTCAATAGCGGGTGATAGATAATCACTGAATTTAATCGGTACTAATTCCATAAATATAATTAACGATTTATTAATCAAACGGCTAAGTAAATGAGAACGGGAATTAACAGCAGAGTGCAACGAAACAGCGTTATTCTAATCTCAAATAAACGAAGTGCAGTCCGTAACCGCAATGAATTCGCATCCCGTACGAGCCGTACCGAGTTTGGCCTTGCCTAGCCTGACAGAAATCCCAACTGATATACTTGTCCTTGCAAAAATGTTGATGACGTCATCGCATTTTTTTTTTAAATTCCCACTACAAAAATGTAATGAGAAAAAAACACAATAGGCATGCAGTCGTCAAGTTTCCGACAGCGAGGGAAGTACTGTCTAAACTCTTTAGACCAATTTTTTTTTTTTATTTCAGTGTTACCCATGCTTTGTATCGTTTTCATTAACTCTTCTATGTTATCTTCTAGTTTACGTTGATTCCTTAATGGCGATTTCCCCGGACATCCACAGTTAAATAATAATAATTAAATAATGACATGCAGTTAAAAAATAAAAAAAAAAAGTAATAATAAAAGTACCAACTGTTAAAAGCCGGCCACACACACAGAGGGAAGACTGTGCAGTTAAAAGTGTGCACGCTTGTCGTAAGTTAAACCCGTACTCTCTAATTGCACACACACACAGAGGGAAGACTGCGCAATCAAAAGTGTGCACGCTTGTCGTAAGTTATTACAGTGGCGTGCATTTGTATTATATAAAAAAAAAAAATTGTAAAATAAGTCAGACGTCATTTAAAAATACGACGCTAATGAATTAAAACTCAAGCGTGCAGCGACTTGTCTCCACACACAGTGCGTTTTCCCCGCGCAGTTATAACTGTGCACGCTAGTAACAGACTTGAATGCACATGCCAGATTCTTCCCCACACACTAGGAGTTTTAACTGTACCCCGTGGCACGTACATTCAAGTCTTGACTCTTCCCTCTGTGTGTGTGGCTGGCTTTAACCATTTTCATTTACATTTAATTTGTTTTAAATGTATATGGCAAATTGTCAAATAAATTAATTGAATAATTATTGAATTAAAATTAAAATGATTTAAAACATTAAATTCATTTCTGAAATATCTGAAAACGCTTAGATGCTAAATTACACAAAAAACGCATTTATATTGTAGCAAAGTTATGTACGAAGAATACAATTTTTGATAATTTAATGTAATTTTTTTCGTTTATTATTCATACACAGGAAAATGTATTAAATCAACAATTATTATTTAAAAAAAAAAATAGTTAGCACTGAAGAACATCGAAGCCGTTATTGTTTTGTAATTTTGTTAGCTATATTAATAAGCGTTTTAAAAACTAAATCGCATTGCTGGGTACGGCGAAGGACGATCTCGCCGGACCTGGCGCAACATACGTTCCGCTGGTAAACAGTGTAGTAGACAAAGAGAACGATGAAACCGTAAGCTGCTACTAAGTCAAAACATCGAGCATTATGCGTTCCTGGATACGGCGTGCCGAAATCTCGCCGGCAAAGCGTGTTTATCAGCATTTAAAATTAGCAACAAATGCTTTATTTTGTACCTATAATATAATAAAATATATTTTTTAATATATATGTTCTATCCTAACGTACATTCAAACTTCATTTCTTTTTTCGTGGTTCTTAATGTTGTTTGAGTTGAAGGCCCTTTCCGTGTATTCTCTCTCACTTTACTAACACGACTATGTTTACCGATTGTTTTACTTGCTCATAATTTTCCATAAATTTGAAATTTTTTACTACTGTTTACCAACAGGATTTACTAAAGCTTATTCATAAGATTGAGTTACCAAATAATCCAAATTATTTGGTAACTCAATAGTAGTATCTTGTATAAATACAGAGTTAGTCACGAGAGAATTACTTCTGAAAATTATTTTTACGCAACCCAAAATACTAATACCCTGTATCACTTGATATTATCTAAATTTAAAATGAAATGCCTAATCCATGATTGCTTTGACTTTGGCAGTGTCACTTTGACGTTAATTAATTTTTAACATTTTTTTTCATCGTTGACTCGCCTCTAGAGCCCCATTGGATCGACGACATACAGTCAGATCAATCTGGGCTATACTGAAGCCGTAAGTGCTCTACCAATGTTGTTCGCCGCTAATGTGCATGTGTTAATTCGCCATCTCTGCGTCACCTAGAGCCTCTTTGAAGTGCAAATCTGCAACCTCTGGATTTCTTCAGCCATCCAATAACAAAAAAGCCGTAGCATCCCCCCAAAATGCCCAACATTTTCAACAGATTAGTAGTTAAATTATTTACTTACTTGTTTGAGTTTGTGTTGTAACCTTTGCATAAAATGCCGTAAACGGAATTTTTAGAAATAATGTTCTCGTGATTAATCGGTTGTAAAAGATCAAGAGGCACACTAACAAATTTATTAGCGGCACCGGAGGAGATTTCCGACTGGCTGCGGTACCACCGTGGACACTCGCGTACCCTCATTTTCCACAATTGTTAAAATGAGATTGCCAAACTCAAAGCAATCATGGATTAAGCATTTCATTTTAAATTGAGTTAGTATCAAATGGTACATGGTATTATTATTTTGAGTTGCGTAAAAATAATTTTCAGAAGTAATTCTCTCGTGACTAACCCTGTATATAAATAAAAAATAGTCACAATACAAAAAATCTTTGTACATCAGGCGATTTAAATTTTCAACAAGCAAACAAAATAAATGTTTTCTAATATTCACCTATAACAATAAAGTAGCTTTCTATTTGGTATTTACAGTGGCCTTCTTGTAATATAGAGCAAAAATTGTACAACAATATTTGTAGTGACAACAAAGTAAAACTATTAATTTTAGTACAGTCCGCCGTAATGTTGCTACGACATTTTGTTGAAACATATTTGCTACTTTCCCCTACATGTCTGTCTACAAAGGTGCAGCAGTTTTACAAGAAACTGCATTTACATTTCTGGGAGTCAAAAAAAACATTCGATGCAAGAAGGAAGGGTATAACACTGCAATACCGAAACCGAGATCAGTTCTTGTCCAACATGTTGCACCCAAGCAAAAACCTCTTTCCTAACAGAGTCGCCGAGTTATTTCAAGACAAAACAATTCTTATAACTGGTGGCACAGGATTTTTAGGAAAAGTGCTCATCGAAAAGTTACTGCGGACGTGCTCTTCACTCAAAAAAATTTACGTAATCATACGGGAGAAAAATGAAAAAAATGCTACCAAGCGTTTACAGGAAATTTGTGACGGACCAGTGAGTGCTCTTTTTTTTACATTAATAATGGTGGTAAATTCTATGACCACTATTCACAGCTTTTTGAAAAACTTCGCCAACAAAAAGGAGCAACTATATTTGATAAAATCGAGGCGATTGATGGTGATGTAATTGCACCAGATTTGGGTCTATCAGAAACCGATAGACAGAAGTTGATCCAAGAAACGGAAATTATTTATCACTCAGCTGCTTCGATTAAATTCGATGAGCCGCTAAAGTCCGCAGTTTTGCTCAACGTTAGAGGAACCAAATCGATGCTGGAACTAGCTGAAGAATGCAAAAATCTTGTGGTGAGTTTTAGAAAATTTTCTCTTTTATTATTTTAATTATAATTGTTTGGATTAAATTTAGAGGTATTCACGTAATATCGTGTGTCAGAAAACGGTGAAAGCGACTACGTTCTAATTACAAATAGTTTATAATTATAACTAATATTATTAAAATTAATTTTGGTGCACATTTTTTAAAACACGAATGCACGCAAGCACGCGTGAAGAATTTTTAAGAGTTGAGCGGGAAAATTTCATAAAAGTTTACACTTTCTCTTTTAGGTCTTTTGTCACTTATCCACTGCCTATTGTCACGAAAAGCAAGAAGTCCTTCTGGACACTTTGTATCCACCACCGGCGGATCCTCACTGCATGATAAAATTATGCGAATGTATGAATGAAGAAACATTAAGTGCCATTGACAGCACGTGAGTTTTGATTTTCTGAATGAAGACACAAATAATTAACAAAAAAGTCCGTTAAAATATTTAACAACTGTTTAGCATTCGCAACGACAAAATATGTTTTTGTATTTTCTAATTAATTTATTTTGAGTGCAAATTCTAACTGATTATTGCAAAAGTGCAACGATGCAATAGATTGTTACGTAAAATAACGTGAAAACACAATTTTAGATATATCTTGAAGCTGTAAAGCAATATTCAGAAAATAATTGCGTGTTAACCTATAATTGGTTGCTAAACATAATGGTTCCATCTACATAAATAACTGCATTGCGTTACTTTTTGTTATAGATGTGGTTATTCATGTGCAATTCCAATTAGTGTCGTATTATTAACATTTAGTAGTAAAATTTATGTTAAAAACTCAATAGATTGGTTTTAATTAAGAAAAAATATAAAACTTTTCTGTATTTTGATTTCGCATTACCAGTATCTGAGAATTTATTGAACGAATCATCGACTTGGACGTTTCATAATATTTTCTCCTACGGTGGTACAGGATACTGGCGATTGGACGTGTGTCGAAATACTAACTAGAAAATATCTAGTAAACCACTCTCACGTAATACATACCCATGTCTTAGATTCATAAATTGTAACATTCGTTTTTGGTTCATGCCCCAAACTTTCATATCTGTCGCTACTCAAAATGAGTCCTTCACCATTGAGTAATAGTAAATTATACCGTTATAGTTAATATCATTTTTGTAAAAAACCGGAATTATATACACAAAGCTTTTTAGATTTATTTTGAAGTTTTGTTGCTAGATATGTTAATCCATCAAGAATTTTCGATTCGATGATATCTGAGGGTAAAAGTTCCATAATATATTATAATCACAATTTTTTTACGAGTGTTTGGAAAATTTCTACGTTCCTAGGTAACACTATTAGCACGCAACCTAGGAGAGGCCAGAGTACTCCTACGCTGGGTAACCGGTAATAAAAGCAACACACACACACACACACACACACACACACACACACTATTTTACTAGAGCGGCAAAAATATTTCCTCACTAAAAATTTTAAAATTTTTTAATATTTTTTGGATTTGCATGTACAGGGTGACTCAAAAAATTAATGAATGTGTGAATTTATTTTATTGATTTAATCAAGAACTGCAAAACCGAATGTTTTGAAGTCTTGGAGATGTTTTAAAGTTATCATAAGCAAGGTAAATTATTACTGATGACGCCACCCCAAAATTTTGCTGAAAAAAATCCTGTCTAAAATGTACAAAATAGGATGAGTCTGTGGTCTGTATCTATGATTTATCATTGCATTTATATTTTGTAGATTTGCTCATACAGGATGACTCAAAAAATTAACGAATCAATCAATTTATTATTGATCAAATTAAGAACGAACCACCCCATTTTCTGGAAAATGTGAGAAGACGCTGGTTTTTATAACAATAAAATCATCTGTTTCGAGGCGATAAACTCATTCAAATCAAACAAATGTCTACGTGACATTCTTCCGATGTATAAACATAACATTTTTAATACTAGGCATATTGCGCAGGTAGCTTTAGTCCCGTTGATAATGTGGTGTAAATAAATTTTTTGCACTCATGACCTTGGCGCATTCACCAGTATGCGGGAAGTCGAACTTGCCGCACACGTGATTTTTCTTTTCCGTAACGTAAATAGGGCGGAAACGTCAAATTACTAAGTGTTTACGGTACCGTCAACGTCGCTGTTTATAAATAAAGCTGGGTGGTCGAAATTTATTCATCCTCACTACCCGTCAGCAGTGCCGGTGCAACCTTGCCTTACTCGCTTCTCGCTTTCCAACTATGCATTATTTTTGATAATTTATACGAATAGTTTTATTTTCAGCGAGACCGACACTTGAAAATTATTAAATATATTAAGGAGAACATACGCAGCACATAAATTCCAACTGCCTAGCCCTATAATTATAAATAACAAGACGTTCGTGAAGCCTGCTTCTCATTTAGATTTGTTCAAACAAGTAGCTCAAAAAAAATTAATGAATGAGACAATTTATTTTATCCATTAAATCAGGAACGGCTCACTCGATTTTCCTAGAAAAATTTCGGAATACAGTACTGTTATTTTTAGTATTAGACTGCACCAATCCAAGTTGATATACGTGTCCTTGCAAAAATGTTGATGACGTCATCACAAAATTGTGTAAAGCAAAAACTTAACTCGAAAATGTTGGATATGTGTCATTGTACGTCAGGAGCGAGGGAAGTTCTGTCGAAACAACTTTTACATTAAAATCACGAGAGGGTTATTTTTAACCTAAGTGTTATAATATAATATTTCATGTAGAAATAAACAAAGCTGCATTGTGGTACATATTTATTAAAAACTTTAAAACATTACAATTTTCAAGTATCGATATTTCAGTTTTTTAAATCTTTCTTTCAATTTATCTTTAATTTCAAATATTTTTTTCCAGACATTGGTGCCACTTAGGAACTATTGTGTTCTGTGCATCACAGGTTTAAAACTCAATAACAAGACGTCAGATTATTGTAGGTTTATTCCGCCGCCATGATGCCACCGTCTGTGCATGTGTGTGGTGGGGTTATGCAACCTCTTATACACAAATGCTTACACATATGCTACATATCTCCTCCCTTATGTTCGAAACTAATTCTAAATATCCTTGTTAATACAAAATAAGAATAATAACCTTAACTAACAATAAAAATCAATAAATACAACTATACATATGAATATTCGATACTAGCGCTCGTCCATAACAAAGTCTGTGAATTTGTTAGGCAGTTTTACAATTCTGATAGGTCTATTATGATTTGTTCTCGGATTGCTGGCTGGCTCAACGTGTGCATCCGGCAAACTTCGATCTGGAACATGGTGTGAAATTTCAGGCTCTATTCCAGATTCTGCAGAGGGACCCGGAGAGGCTGAGCTACCTGGAGGAATATCAGGAGTGGTGGGAATTGGTGAAGGATTATGGTACTTTATTGGAATACCGACCCTGGTCGTTGGTGCATTTGTTTTGATACTGACGTTTTCGTCCGCTTTATTGCTGACTGCCTCTATCCTCCCTTTAATTTGATTTGGGTGTCTTTTCCAAATCATTCCAATCTTAGTTTTGCACATATACGTCGCATTTGCTATCTTCTTAACTATCGTAGCTTCCATCCATTTATTTGTTGACCTGTAGTCTCTAACGATTACTTTATCATTGACCTTGTAACTCCGTACTGCGCGCTCGGCCCGTGTTTTGTTAGTGTTTGTCAAATAGGGTTTCTTCTCTTTCAACATGCTCACTCTGGTGTGCAACTTTCTACCAAACATGGCTTCAGCTGGCGAAATGCCTGTTGTCGTATGTGGAGTATTTCTGTTAATCATTAGAAATCGTGCCAACAATGTAGATATTGGCACGTCTTTATTTTTTTCGTCTACTAGTGCGGCCTTTAATTTGTTTTTCACGGTTTTTACAGCATTTTCTGCGAGACCATTGCTTTGTGGATTATAGGGTGAGATTGTCAAATGCTTGATGCCGTTTCTATGAAAGAACACTTCAACTTCTTCAGACACGAAGGTTGGACCGTTATCTGATACTATTGTTCGTGGTAGTCCGAACCTCGAAAAACAATCGCGTAACATTTCGACGGTAGTTTTGGAGGTTATGTTTTTCATTGAGTAAACCTCAATCCATTTTGTACAGCTGTCAATAATTACCAAATAATCCCTTGCTTTGAATGAGAAGAAATCTATGTGTACAACTGAAAATGGGATGCTAGCTTCAGGCCATGGAATGTTTGTTTTTGGGGGATGTGCTGCTACAGACAAGCATGGTGCACATGCTTTGCACATAGTCTCTATTCGCTTATCTATACCTGGGAACCACAAGTAAGATCTAGCCATTGACTTCGTCCGCACTATCCCTTCGTGCGTGGCGTGTAGCTCTGTTAATACTATGTCTTGCATGCTGGATGGTATTACAATGCGGTCACCATAATACAAACAATCATTTTCCACATACAAATCTAACTTACGATTGTGATATGCCTTTATTTCCTCATCAATTCTATTAGGCCACTGTGTTTGAACGAAACGTGCTATCTTTTTTAGGACAGGGTCGTTTATAGTTTCTTCACGAACCATCATGTTATCTAGAGGTACTTCAAGATTCGCAAAATAAATATTACTATCGATATGCTCTTCATGGTCCACAACTTCCTGTAATGGCAATCGTGACAGGCAGTCTGCCACTACGTTATCGCTTCCTTTTATATGTTCAATTACGAAGTCGAAATTGGAGAAATACAAAGCATATCTTTTGATTCGATTTGCATAAGTTTGGTTGATTTCTTTCCGCTTGCCAAAGAGGGAAATTAACGATTTTTGGTCACTTCTTAACACGAATTTATGCCCAAATAGGTATTCTTGGAACTTCGATACCGCAAAATAACATGCTAAACTTTCCTTATGGACGGTCGAGTAATTTTGTTCAGATTTGCTGTAAGTTCTCGAGATACAACAAACTGTTCTTTCTGTGTTGTCAGGCATTTTGTGGGAAAGAACTCCAGCTATGCCCCTCTCTGATGCGTCGCATGTCACAATTATCGGAAGGTCAGGATTAAAGTAGGTCAAAACTTCTTCTGACGCAATAATCAGTTTAATCTGTTCGAACGTGCTTTCGCATTCTTGATTCCACACAAACTTTACTCCTTTCTTGAGTAAATTGTACAGCGGTGACAATTTGTCCGCTAGATTATTCACAAATTTGCTGTAATAGTTTACCATACCGATGAACGACTTCAATTCGGTGACTGTGGTGGGTCTCGGAGCTGCCACTATCGCCTTCACCTTGTCTTTACTTTTGCTAAGTCCATCTTCGGATAAATCATACCCCAAATATGATACTTTACTCTGTAGAAACTGGCACTTCTGGAGATTGACGGTAAGACCCGCCTTTTTCAATATGGACATTACGTTTCTTAGGGTATTTAGATGGTCTTCTCCACGTTTGTGTCCAACTAAAATGTTGTCTTGAAAGGTAAATACATTATCTATACCCTGAAATAATTGGTCTATGTGCTTCTGAAAGTAGAAACTAGCGCATTTAATTCCGAATGGCATTCTATTGACTGTGAATAAACCTTTGTGCGTTGAAATAGTTACTAATTTCTTTGATTCATCATCCAATTCAAATTGCATATATGCATCACTGAGATCGATTTTTGAAAAGAGATAGTTACCATTCAAACTGGCATAAATTTGTTCAATGCGTGGTAATGGATAAAAGACGTCAATTAAGTTCTTGTTCAGACTTACATAGCTTCCACAGATACGTATCGTTCCGTTTTTTCTCATTACTGGAACTATATATGAACTCCAATCGGTTGTTATTGTGGGCGTTATAATTCCCCGTTGTTGCATTCTTTCGAGTTCATATTCGACTTTTGCTTTTAAGGCTAAAGGTACGGGTTTGGGTGGATGATGTGTAGGAATAGCATTAGGTTTCAACTTTAACGAAATTTTCCCGTGTTGGTAGCATCCCAAGGTCTCACTGCAAACCTCTGGGAATTCTGCCTGTAATGTTGCCTTCACATCCATTGAGTCCACCGCGTTTATTCCTGCTGGAGTGAAAATAATGTTAAAATTATTGATGAAATCCCTGCCTAACAATCCTGTCATAGCATTTTCAATTACAAATAGTTTTAACTCACTTGCCATATCTCCATATTCTACTATAACATTTATGAATCCTAATGGTACAATTGATTCACCTGTGTAACCTTTAAACGACATTACTGTTGGATGAATTTGGTAAGTGTTCAATTTATTTACATAAAACTTGTTGCTTATTGCAGATATGCCGGAACCTGAATCTAACTGCATGCAATATTTTTTGCCATCTATTAACACGGAGAGTTCGATTGGCTTAAGAGTGTTGTTAATGTTATATATAGAGTTTAGATAATGTCCTTCGTCATATATACTAACCTCGCTTCCGCTTCCTTGTTCACTTTGTAGGGTCTCCACTGCGTTGATCTGCCTTGCCCTGCAGACACTCTGTAAGTGTCCCTTTTTGCCACATGCATTGCAGGTATAATTCTGGAACTTGCACGTTCCAGCATGTGTTTTGCCACAGCACTTACATTTCACAGTGGTTCTGCTTTGGTTCTTCACTCTTCCCATGTCATAACTTTCTTTATACTCTTCATTTGCATCTGGTTTTCTGGGTTTGTGTTGGTTTCTTCCCCGGAAGTTGCCTAGTTTACTGTGACCACTGTATACTGCCTGAATTCTGTCCTCGCTTCCTTTACCAGTGGTGTATGCTAACGCCAACTCCTTGCTGTTGGCAATTTCGATTAACTTCTCGAGACTTTGACTGACTGGTTCTTCCACTAGTCGGTCCATAACGGGTCCCTCTCGCATTCCCGACACGAACCGATCAACCAGTGTCTCTTGGAGGTGCTCAAACTTACAGTTGACCGCGAGATTTTTTAATCTTGCATACCATTCATTAGAACTTTCTTCGGTGGTTTGGTGGGCTCGGAAGAACTGAATTCGTTCCCTAAACACGTTTACTTTTGGACTGAAATGCTTTTGGAGCTCCTTTTTCAGCTCTTCTAAAGACTTGTCCTTGGGTGGAATTGGAAATGATAAATCGCGAAGTATCTTGTATACATCCGTTTCCATCTGACTTAGCAACAGGGCAACTTTGCATTTTTCGTCCACGATTTTGTTAACGAGGCAGAACTGTTCGAACCTTTCTTCGAAAATCGTGAAGTCACTGTCCGGTGTGAACGTAGGGATAATGCCGATGTAACTAGCCATGCTTGAGAGTGCTTTTCAGAACGGTTAGACTTTCTCACCTTTTCCTCCCGTTCTTGCGTTGAACGTTACTCCCTTGTATTCATAATTTGCTCGTCGCCATATATTGTGTTCTGTGCATCACAGGTTTAAAACTCAATAACAAGACGTCAGATTATTGTAGGTTTATTCCGCCGCCATGATGCCACCGTCTGTGCATGTGTGTGGTGGGGTTATGCAACCTCTTATACACAAATGCTTACACATATGCTACAGGAACGTGAAATTTACATAGAACCATAAACTTATTGTGAGCTGTTCCTCATTTTTTTTGTACATGTTTCGCAATTACCCTGTATAATTTTAAAGTAAATGTGCAACTCGTATGTTTCAAATGAGTTTTTACTTTATAGTTTCTCCAGTTCTAATTCGGTTTTATGTTAGTACTCCATTGTGTAAAAATTAACTTGCTTAATAATAGATTACTACTGCCGGTGCTGGAAGAATCATAAATAAGGGTTTAACCATAGCGTTACCATTATACTGTATAATGGTTAAATCCTTAATTATGACTGTCCCATCACTGGCAGTCGTAATCTGTTGTTAAGGAAGTTAACTTTCACACATCGTAAAACCGAATTAGAACTTGGGAAACTATACACAATTTTGTGATGACATCATCAACATTTTCACAAGGACATCTATATCAATTTGGATTATCGCAGTATAACACTAATAATAACAGTATCTTATTTCCAAATTTTGAGCAGATCGAATGAGCCGCTCCTGATTAATCAATAAAATAAATTAACTCATTCATTAATGTTTTGAGCCACCTGTATAAGCCAATCTAAAAAAATATGAATGCAATGATAAATCACACATTTTGGGTAGAATTTATTTTACAAAATTTTGAGATGACGTCATCAATTTTTTGGGTGGAATAAACAGACACATTTTGATTAAAAAGTTACCATGTTTATAATAACTTCAAAACATGTCCAAGATTTCAAAGCATTCGGTTTTGCAGTTCCTAATTAAATCAATAAAATTAATTCACGCAATGGAAAATCACAAGTATAGACTCATGATATTTTGGACATTTTAGATAGGTTTTATGCGGCAAAATTTTGAGCTGATGTCATCATTTTTTTGAAGGGGATAAGCAATATATTTTGATTAAAAAATTATTATGCTTATCACAATGTATTTTTTTCCAGAATTCGAGGCTGGAGTGCTAATAACTACACTTTCAGTAAAGCTCTGACTGAAGCTTTAGTCGAAGAAAAAATGGACAAACTTCCCGTCGTCATCCAGCGACCAACTGCAAGTATTTTGCTTTGAATAAGTATCGAACACTAACACTTTTTTAGTTATTCCTACGTGGAAAGAGCCAATTCCTGGATGGACTGATAACATAAATGGACCCATGGGACTTCTAATTGGTGCAGGAAAAGGAGTGATAAGAACAATGTACGCAAAAGACGACGCCATTCTGGACTGTTTACCCGTGGATAGTGTGATAAATCTTCTAATCTGCAGTACTTACGATTACGTCACTTACAGGTAAAAACATAATGAATAGATGACATTATGTTAAACTTACGTCACAAGAAGTTGTTAATAATTATAAATTATAATTATGAGAATATAATTCATGGATCACATGACCCCATTTCTTCCAATAGAACCGAAGCAGCACATTCAACTCGTGCTTCGCACTCGTTGAATCTGCAGCTCGGTTTCACTCGAAATATTATCGATAATAATCATATCACTTGTTATATTATAATTGAGAATATAATTCATGTATCACATGACCTCATTTCGTCCAATAGAATTTGTTAATGCCCTTAGTTACATGTCTATCACAGCCATAATAATTTTTTTCACTAGCAGCCATGAAGCATGCAAATGTCGACTCATTTAGAGGTAGCAAATTCAACTTTTGCGACCACGGGTTAAAAAAGAAGATTGAGGTTATGTACGCAATACTTGATGTGATTATTTCTTAAAAAATGAATAAATGTGTGCTACTAACATTACTTGAGTATACGCATGGTAGTTGCAGACGGTAGAAGATAAAATGATTAATTCAGCGACAAGTGTAAACGGTTTACTCTGTGTTGAAGATTTAGATTAAGTTTGATTAGAAATCCAAACAAAATCATGTTGCGTCAAAAAATTGAACGTTTATTTTTTCAATTTATTGTCTTATGGTTTCTACTAGTGAAAAAAATAGTACATTACCCACGGTTACAAAGCCGACGCTGCGCGTCTCGGGTTCTAATTTGCGCTCGGTCTAGAATGCTTGGCTTTGCAACCTTGGCTAATAATATACTATTATTGCCTTATTGTGGTCTGTTGCTACCTAAATTTAAAAACTGTCAAAGTTGACAAACTTTGGAATTTCATAATTTTTTTTGTCTATTATGGCTTGCCAACGTTGGGGGCAAGCCCAAAACGACGAAATCAATTCTGTTATCAAAAAATGTGTTCATTTATTATATTCTCATGTTGAATATAACTCGTGATATGATTAATAATCGAAGATATGGCTCGTGAAACCGAAGCAGCACATTCAACTCATGCTTCGCACTCGTTGAATCTGCAGCTCGGTTTCACTCGAAATATTATCGATAATAATCATATCACTTGTTATATTATAATTGATAATATCGCGAGACACGACCGTGAATTTTTTATACCGACTGGCGTAATCTTGAAAGAATGCAATACAATTATAGGTAATAGAACTCATTTATTTCCTTTCGCCAGAATTTCGACTAGACGCTTTCAGTACACCGAACTTATTTAACTTGTTTTTTTTGTGTGTATGTAATTGAGATCTTTAACGTCAGCAGAGATCAGTTTAAATTATTAGCAAACGCCACAGTAACAGTTTGCGGTAAATAAAAATGTCAGACGGTGAAAGTTTTATTGCTAAAACATTTCGATAATTTTTCCAACCTCAAAAGTTTTTAATACACTTTACATAAGGCAGCTTAAAATTAATCATAAAAACGCGTACATTCTTAGCAACTTTTATATTCACAATAATTTCTGTTCTAGAAGTCGCAGAGTGTACAATCTAACCATTTCCAGAGAAGTCAAAGTAACAGCCAACAAACTTTTGGAAACAGGCAGACAAGTTATAAACACAAAAATACCTTTCGATATGGTTATTTGGTATCCAAATGGGTCTTTGAAAAGTTCTCGTCTGTCACACTATATCCATTTCTTGTTGTTTCAGTTATTACCCGCATTCTTTATCGACGCAATTTTTTTACTAATCGGTGTAAAACCCTTGTAAGTCGCCATAAAATAATGTTTTCCCAATGACCTAAATTTGTCTTTTTTAGCTTGATTAGAGTTCAAAAAAAAGTTTTGAAAGGCTACCAAATTTTTGAATACTACGTTAACAGAGAATGGGATTTTCGACACGATAATATGAGCATTTTTAGAGATTACTTAAATCCGAGGGAAAGAGAAGAATTTATAATGGATCCCGAAGGTTTTGATTTTCACACATACATAACAGATTGTATGTTGGGAGCTAGACGTTATATACTGAAAGAACCAGACGATGGTATTTCATCAGCTCTGAAACGAATGAAAATGTGAGTATTGTGTAACAGTAATAGTCAATAACCTCTCAACACATACTTAGTACAAATTTTCACAAAACTTTACAAACGCAATTTTTCTTTGTGTTTAATATTTTATTATTTTTTACTATCATCAGTATTAAATCAAAGCGATCGAGCAGAGGTAAAACCTGTTATGTCCACCCTATAGCAATTGACTTTGAATTCCACTTGTCAATAATTCTGTGTTCACGCAACCCAAAATACACGTTTCACAGTTAACTCGACAATTTTCATGTGTGTTAAACAATTTTGAATCAAAGTATGCTTTACAAAAAAAATTAAACGTTAACATTGACATTTTCTTGTAGGATTTGTATGCATGTCTTTTTTTCTGTTTCAGGTTGTGGCTCTTGGATAAAGTTTGTAAAATCGTTTTTACTACAGGAATTTTGTATTATATGTGCAAATTTTTTCTATTTATATATTCCAACAAGGTTAATTAATTTTCTATTCAACACAATTTTAGATGGTATATACTCTGTCCACTTCACTTGTACCTCATAAAATTATCTAGAGGTTTGAAAATTTCATTCTACCCTATAAAATGTTATGGCAATAAGGAGACGGACAGTAGTACAATAGCAAGAGATATTTACATAAAGTTGTCGCTTGCCGGTAATCCCCAGATGTTAGAAACAGAATAATTCATGTCCGGACAGCGCCCATCGTTACTCATGAGTACAACTACCTTACCATTGTACCATTGTCCATCTCGTTATCGTCAATAAAATTTTATAAGGTAGAATGATAAACGTTGAATTTGAATGAGGTGAAGACGTCAGTCATAAAAATGTGTAACTTTAAAATTAAATTTGCATCATTTTTTGTACCATATTAGCTTCACAACCAGAGCATTATCAACTATAAAATTTTATAAGCAACAAATAAAATGGACAGAATATACATAGTTAACAATAAACGTAAAATAGCAAAATATGTAACGTATTTCCCACAATAAAATATGTGTAACTATTTTCTTAAAATTGTTTTTTCAGTACTTACCTTATTAATTACATTAAAGGAGACAACAACATAACAAAGTACCCGAATTTCTTGTAGTATAATAACTATAAAAACATATGTACAGTCGGGTTTTATTTCTCTTTATCTACTTACAATACAAATATTTGACTAACCAATTTCACCAATTCTATACTACATAAAGTTACATATAGAATTACCCCTGTATACAGAGTGCCCAAAAGATTATGTCGATTTGTGTAATTTACTAAAACATAATTAGATACATTTCTAGAAAACTCCTTTAGGTTTATAATCTAAAATTATGTTTTACTATGCATGGTGTTGCATCTATAACCTAGACATCAAATTTTACATTTTTTAAATAAAACGCTTATATTATTGCACACCACCAAGGAAAAAATGAAAATTTGACCTTCGTAACTTCAGTGTTATTAAAAAAATGTTAGTACTCTATTGGATGAGTACTTTTCAGTGACAATTTTTTTGACTAAATTATGAAAAATTGGATACATTCTCTACCGGTAGTACACTCTTATAAAATGTTGGCGAAACTGGATTAAAATATTACTCCAAAGAAGGTATGTTTCACAAGTGCAGTGACTAATATTAAAACTAGCCAACAATAATAATGAACAACAATAAGTTAACCTAACAACTTTTCACCTGCATTTTTCTAGATTTACGTATATTTACATTTCCTAATATCAAACAGGCTTTAAACGAAGGGCATTATAAACATTTTAAATAACACATACAATATTCCAGCCACTAATATACATTTATACATTTTATCAATGGCCCACAGTCTAAAAGCAAAACACAATATAAATACTTCTCAAAAATCGTAAAATGATCAAATACTTACACTTTCAGGCGTCTTTTTGCCACAGGAATGTTTTCATCCTTTTCTTTCAGGAGATACCTGCGCGACCCCAGAATGCACGTATAAATATAATCGCGAAGAACGAATCCTTCAGGATCTATCTTAAAAATCTGATTTTCTTTTTTGTTCATTAAACTTCGTGTAACCGCTATGTTATCTTTTCTAAAGTCCCATTTTCTATTAGAGTAATATTCGAATATTTTATATCCTCGTAAAATTTTCTTTTGGACTCGTACCATGCTATAGTATAATTTTCTTTGAAAGAGTAGTTAAGTATGCAATCACTACTTACATAGGTTTGAATCCAAAAACAAAAAGGATAGCGTCTATAAATATAGCTGGAACTAACTGGAAGAAAAAAAATACCAATGCATGGCGAATTCTACTGTGTGTGATGCCTCCTCCTGGATACCACAAGGTCCAATCAAATGGTAGTTCATTAGTCACGATTCGTCGACCAACATCTATAAGTTCCTTAAATGTTACCTTTACTTCGTCTGATGCAGTAAAGTTGTAAACACGTCGTTTTCTGAAATTAAAAGTTCAGCATTCCAAAAATTTCATTAGGGCAAAATAAGTACTTACTTGTATGTTGCGTAATCATAAGTGGAGCAAATTAAACAATTGGCAGTGCTATCTACGGGGCAATAATCAGCAAAATAATCACTTCGACCGTACATTGTTCTTATGACGCCTTTTCCAGCCCCAAGTAAAAGACCAGTAGGTCCATTCAAATTGTCTGTCCATCCAGGAAGTGGTTCAATCCATATAGGTATCACTACAACCGTGTAAAAATCGTGATTGTATAGAAAAGCAAATTGTGGATAAATCTTAAAAGTTTGTTATGATCTGATTTTGACATTTTGAAAATAATTTTTCCGGTGATCGTTTATTAATAAATAATGCATGATTTTATGTAACCAGATATACAAGTCTGTACATGAAATTTCATGTTTCTGAGTGTCAAAAATTTCCCAAATCAACATTCAAAATGGAAAATTACATAGAAATGGATTCTTTAACTCTTCCGGAAGTAGAAAACGCAAGTGTGGGGTCACTAAATTTACTTTCAGAAAGAAGCAAAATGCTTTACCAAAAAACCTACGATGAGTCTGTTGCTTGGTGCGCCGAAAAGCTGGTTGTAAGGTATTCGGAATCCGTATTACTTGCATCCTTCTCCGAAATTTCCCAAAAAGGCTCAATAACACGCTTGTGGCCAAAGTATTATATGCTTCGATCCACTTTATACATTCGTCATGATTTCGACATGTCCAACTAATGTTTATTCATAAATATGTTCACTTGTATGTTTGGTTGCATAACTCATATTTTGAATTTTCAGTAATTTTTTTTAAATTACGGTCACCGGAAAAGTATTGTAACTACCTTGACTGTTCAGCGCGCGTTAAAATATCTCGATTATTAATCGCCTTTATTAACAAACTTGTTCGTTAAATAGCTATTAATGTATGGTGTTCAGAAAACGTACAACCTTGATCTTCATCTTTTTTGTTTTTATTTCTAGTAATATGTAATTAATCAGATATAGAAGAGCCCGCTCTTGGTGACTCACTGTATACATATATTTTTTTAAAGCATTTATTTATTAACAAAAATTAAATTTTTACTTCATTTGACACTATTTAAAAAAATTAATTATGATTAAATGACGATAATAAGTTTAAAATAGGGATAAAATATGTACTAAAAAAATTATTCAATTTGATTTTTCCACATTTTATCTGTGATACTCTCTATACATAAAAATATGGATAATATCAGTAACAGTATAAGAAAAAACATTTTCTCAATATGCATGCGTAACTTCAACTGTTTATGTTTATATTGCGTTGAAACGAAAGGAAATTGATTTTGTCTCCACACAGCAGAGTGGTAATTAATTAAGTTGTATTCTTATATTTTCGAGACAATGTGGTGAACGCGGACCTTGGATCTGTGAAGCTAGTGGGCTACCCATGAGTCACACTAGCTATTATATTGCTTCGTACAATGTATCTTAAGAAAGACGGATTAAACAATACACAAATATGATAATAAAAATAAAACAAAATCAAGGTAGATTCGTAAACGACAAGTATAGGAGTATTATTTCATAAAATTTATATAATGTTAAATATGCAATGTAATGAGCGGACGTCATTGAATTGTTGACAAGGATGATTAGCCAAATGTTGGTTAGCATTTTATTATCTACATGATATTCCGAATATACATGCAATGTTTAACAACAATCTGTCTAATAGAGACATACGACATACAGACGAAAACAGGAGACCACTTTTTCTTATTCTGGTGGTCATGAAACGCCGAGAAAACACGAAAATAGCAAGTCGCCGACTACACTACTTTATTCGCTTACGCCTGTGAGGTAAAAATGCTTTGACAAAAAAAAACTGAATAAGAAACTTTGCTAAATTTCATATTCAAAGTAAACAAGGTAGTTACCATACTTTACAAAATAAAAACGTTCTTTTCTAAGAAACCCGAACATATTCTTATATAATATTTTATTTTTTTATAATTTGAAGTGAAATAAGAGGATATGAGAAATTTGGTTTACGAATTTTAATAACTAGTATAATGGTATATGTATTGTAGACTTAAAATATAGATAAAGAAGCATGTTATTCAGTGGCATAAATAAAATCCCCACAGTCACTGCGTCAGGAAGTGCGCACTCCGCACAGGCACCGAGAATATTAAATATATTTAAGGCAGATAACCAACGATAAAAAATATTATCAATACATGCTTAACTTCGAATGTTTATGTTTATGTTGAAGAATTTAAATTATTTTCGCTTCTCAGAACAGAGGGGGCGACTAAAATCATTAATTGTGATAAATAAATACAATATTTTGTTATTATTATTCTTGCTATGATCAGTTGTTTCGACTGAACTTCTCTCGCTCCGGAAGTACAAGTACAGCATTTTCGAATGGGCGCATCCTCAGAGGAGTCCGTCATCGTTTCTCTGCCGTCGTGATTTTTTCTATCTGCGATGGATGGGTACCTGTACCTGTTTAGATCATTGCCTAGTAGATTCATCCGCATTCGCGCTAGCGTGTTAACCAGTTCACTTAAGTTTATGTTTCCGCGTGTTATTGTTTGCAATTTAAAAAAATAAATTTAAAAACCACCCCCTTCTGAAGTGTGCATGTTACGCTACTGACGGACAGTCCGTTGTCAAATTCTGATGACTCACCATGTTGAAGTTAAAATAATCCAGCTCTTAAGAACCCTTGACCTTCAACACTAGGGAATAGCGATCTGACACTCAAGTGTTTATTTATGTTTATACATTGAAAGAATGTCACGTAGAAACTAGTTTGATTTGAATGAGTTTGTTTTGTCAAAATACAGGACTAAAATTACTTATTAATTAAACCAGAATCGAACAAAATGTTCTGAATATTATAATTCTTATTATATCATTATTATATAAAGACATTTTCGAGAAAATGGACTCGTTCGTAATTTGACCAATAAAAAATTGTGACGACGTTATCAACATGGATACTACTAGTCACAGCGCAAGAGAAAAGTAAAAATAACAGTATTGTTTTTCCAAAATTTTCAGAGAAAATGGAGTGAGCCGTTTCTGAATTAATTAATAAAATAAATTGACTCATTCATTAATTTTTTTGACCCATCCGTTTAAGCAAAACCAAAAAATACGAACACAATGATAAATCACAAGTAAAAACTCTTTTTGGGGGGAATAAACAGATATGTTTTGATTAATAATTTACCAGACTTACAATCAAAGTATTGATTTATTCAATAAAATAAGTTGACTGATTCATTAATTTTTTTTGAGTCAACCTGTATAAGCAAGTGTAAAAAATATGAATGCCGTGATAAATTACAAGTACAGACTGATCATATTTTGCAATTTTACCACTTTTTTCGTACTCTGGGGGTCATGAAACGTCCAGAAAACACGGAAGTAACAACATGGACTCGATTACAGTACTTTCCCCGCCTACGCCTGTGAAATCAAAATGCTTTTGATGAAAAAAAAACTGAATAAGAAACGTTGCCAAATTCCATGTTTAATGTTAACATGTCTCAGAGGTAGTACCATACTCTATGAAGTAAAAACGTTCTTTGCTAAGAAAGCCGAACATATTTTTCGTCTTCCTGGTTTAGTAATGTCTTATTTTCTCTAAAATTTCCAAAAATAATATTTTATTATGGTTTACAATTATTTTATGAATTTAATTTTGCGAATTTTAATAACTAAAAGTAAGATATGTGTGGACTGTTAAAAGTAGAGTAAAGTTTAAAGTAGTGTACCATTTGAAATGAGACATATTTAAAAAGAAATTGGTTCAAAATTATTTTATTAATTAATTTTGCGAATTTTAATAACTAAAATAATGATATGTGTAGACTGTTAAAATATAGATAAAGAACCGTGTTATGCAGTGGCATAAATAAGCGACGATAAAAAGTATTATCAGTACATGCTTAGCTTCGAATGTTTATGTTTATACATCGAAAGAATGCAACCATTAAGCACGTATCAAGCTGTCTGACTAGAACATGAGGAAGAATTTAAATAATTTTCGCAGAACAGAGGAGGCGATAAAATTATCAATTGTGATAGATAAATAAATACATAATTTTATTATTATTAAATATAGGCGGGCGCAACATTGCTGTATTCTCAAATTTTCGAGAAAAAAGAATGAATCATTCTTGCTATAATCAGTTAGAAAAATTGTGAGTCAATTGAATCATCGATCTTTTCGTTAGTAATTCAATATTTTTAAAGAGTTCTCCACGTCATTGTTCTGAAACAATTTGGATTTTTTTTAGAATAATTTAGATGCCAAAGATAAAAATTCAAGGCGGATTCATAAACCGTAAGTATAGGAACATATTATTTAATAAAATTTACTGAAAAAAAACTGAAGGATTTTTTCAATTTTTAATAGACGCACGAAAATATCAAAAGGAATAAAATAAAAATCCGAGTAAAATGCAATAGTAAGGTACACAGTATTCTACTGAGATATGTATATGACTATTTGAAAATTACAATATTTTACATTTTTGTTCCTATATATAAAATATTGCAACACAGATGGAGTGGTAAAAATATCAGGTCATATGCAAGGTATAGGGTGTTTCATTAAAAAAGCAATTTTAATTTATTCTGTCGCTACGGCCCTGCAGGTTTGGTCCTTGACTTCTTAGTCCTCTCATAACTAATGGGATATATATAATTGTGAGCGCCTAATAACTCAAGCTGTATATATATCTAGTGGACAGTATTTTTTGTCTTCTATTTTATATAAACAGAATATCATTTTAAAAAAACTAATTATAATGTAATTAAAAAAATTTATATTATTTTTCTGTGGTGTTTGAAAATAACAAATTCCAAATTTAATATGTTATAATAGTGTTCTTAGATCATTTCCATGTTTCATGTAATTTCCATTCATTTAAATATTTAAATCTAAGTTTTTATCTTGTAAACATTTTTTTGCGACCATTCAATCAGTTAAAATCTATTGCCTATAATTAGCATAGACGGAACAACAATAATCCAGCTAAATCGTCATTCTAAAATTTTATAGAATTACATTTATTACAATAATAAATACGAAGGACTGTAGACATTGTGAGGTATCGATCCAGAACTAATAACATTTCATTGTGGAACATGTAACAATAAATTGAATGTGACTTGCATTTGATTATATGTTGCACACTTGTCAATGTCGTTCAAATGCAATTCGCAAT